GATAAAAATAAAAATAGAAAGATAAAAATAAAAATAAAAGAAAAAGTTTAAATGAACATTACTGCGCTAAAATATAATGTGATATAACTGATGAAAGGTAGAATGGTAACAATATGAAGTGATGTTTGATTATATATTATTGATTTCATGTGTTTTGGGTTGGAGAGAAATAAATGAAATATTGTGATATATTTGTTGAATATGTTGAGTATTAGTGAAGATGGACATTTTTGGAGTGAGAAATAATTTTGATGTGATGTTATCAATTAGTTGATTGAGTTTTTTCAAATTTTTCTTTGAGAAAATTGAAGTTAGTGATGAGTTTTTTGATATCTTCTTTTAATTGATTAATAGAGTGATCTTCTTTGAGAGAAAAAGATAAGTGATCGTGTTTATAAGGGAAAAGGTGAGTAAATTGATAGAAATTGAATGAAGTGTTGGATAACAAGTATTCTTTGTTATTATTATTATTTTTTTGTTTAAGAGTAATAAGGAAGAGTTTTTTGTAGTTTAAAGTTGGTGATGTTATAATGAGTTTGCAGTAGTCGATATCACGATTTTCATATAATTTGTTAAGATGGTTGAAATAGTATGCTTTTTGATTTTTATAAGTGCATTTATTTGTTATGTATTCTTTAAAGAAGCAGATACAACATGGATGAGTTAAAGGTGATTCCCATCAGAGTTTAGTTTTTCTTAGAATGAAATTTTGTATCATGGCATTTGCAAGATCAATTTCATTCTTGAAGCTGATTATGGTAAAGCATTATTTGTTATATTTAATAGGAGATCTTGGAATAAAGCATGTTTTGCCTTTGATTTGAAAAAGGAAATCATTTAGTTTGAAAGTTGTGACTCTCCAAGAGAGATTAACAAGTTTTACATAATAAGCATCTCGTTTTGTGAGAATTTTGTGTTGATCAATAGTGGGTAGGATTCTGATTCAGTCAAAGCTAAGTAAGACTAACCAAGCATCAGTTATATTTTTTGCTTGTTCAATATTTTCAAACTGAACTTTGGTGTAGGTCTATTTGCTAATAATTTGTTATTTAATGTTGATAATAGTATCAAATTGTGCAAGAACAGTGTGAATTTGTTCTTTATTGATTCCAATAAGTATATCTCTGAGAGCAACAACTGTGAGTGAATTTGCTTGAATAGATGAGAAAGATTTTTTGAGAATGAGCTTTTGATTATATATAAAAATTTTTGCAGTTTTTTTCAAAGCTTTTTCTGAGAAAAATTTGACACAGAGGTAGTAAATATTGTCGATAGGATCAGCTTTGGCACGAATAAAACCAGGTATAAGAATGAAGATTTCTTTAGTGAAGATAATTTTGTCTTTTGTAAGTTCTTGAAGAAAATATAAAAACAGATAGCCAGTCTTTGTAATGTCTGATACTTTTTACTAGGATCCAGTTTAGTTTATTTGAAGAAGATTCTGGTTCTTTGCTCTTGTTGTTAATAATTGAAGTGTTAATTTTTGGGATAATTGGAATGTTGAAGGAGTGAGTAAATTGAGCTTGTTCTGCAATAAAATTGTATAATGTAATATTTTCAGGAGTATGTGTACTATGTGAGATTTCTATTTCAGTAGAAAGTTGGGCACTATTCATCATATTGATAAAATGTTGATTGTTGTCTGCTAAATCAGGATTGTTGATAATGTTTTCATGTGTTTTGCATGTGAAAATATTGAAATCAGTTTCTATATTATGAGAAGTAGATGAATTAGAATTATCTGATTTTAGTCTTTTTGATTGCACTCGGATAACCAGATGTGATCTTTCATATAATTATTTTCAGATGTTTGCTTTATGGGAAGTGGATGTAATTTTAGATAAATCACTGGTGTCATTAGCAGGAGTTTGGGTGTTGGACTTTTTTGTTGGTAAAGAGAGATCTAGAAACTGTGCGATAGAGAATAAAGAAGTTAAATTAACAGTTTTTTTATTATTTTATTTTGTTTAATAAAAAAATTTTGTTTAAATTGCATAGAGAAGAGAAGAAAAATATGTGAAAAATAAAAAAATTTGAAAAAATACGAATAAAAGAAAAAAAATTATTTTTGTAAGTTTTTGTATTTTTAGATATTTTTGTGAAGGTTTTTGAGAAAAATTTAATAAAAGAGAAAGTAAAGAGAAGAGATTCATAAATGCAGGAAATTGAAGGAATGCTTTTGGAATGAGTTGTATAGAGATAGTAGTAAGTTGAACTTTTTTTCTATAGTGTAAGATAAATTTTCATTCTTGAACAGGTTATGTAGAGTACGAAAAAAATGATCAATAGGAAGAGATGTGAAAAGAAGTTATTATTATTATTATTATTTAATAATGACAATAATATTTAATATTTTTATAATACAAATAATATTTATTTAATTAAAAATTATAATTGTTTACATAAAATAGAAATAAAATAATAATTAATTATATTTTGTAAATTATAGTTGTATTTATTATAATTACAAAATTAGAAAATTTTTTATAACTATATAAATATTTATTAGGATAACTTACAAAGTAAAATTTTCAATTTACTATGTTTTAACAATAAATTTTGAAAGTAATACATTTCTTTTGTAAGTTATATTGGATCAACTTTTTAAATTATAAAAATTTTTAACCAATTAATTTCTTTTATTTTTTTTGAAAATATTACTAACTATATTGTTAATTTTATAATAAAAAAATATATGCTTAATAAAACTAAATTGTATATAGTCAAAACTAGTTATAACGAAGTATAATTAAAATCTCGATATAACGAAGTTTTAAATTTTGCAATATCCTAGTAATTCGTTGATATAACGAAGATTCCAAATACTAAATAAAATAAAAATAGTTAGTGCTGATAAAAAACAAAAGCATATATTAATAAAATAAATGAATATACAAATATATAAATAATAACAATTATAAGAATTGTCCTTTTTACTAGATATTGCAATTATCTTTCACAGACAAATGCAATATTGATTTAAATTCTAATTCCGAAAATCTGAAATCTAAACTCTAAATTATGAAGCAAAATTCTTCACCCCATGATCGACAGAAAATTTTAAATTTTAAAATCCCCTTCTTGACTCAGCTGCGCTATATGTTATTTAGTTCGTATAATACTAGATCTGTCGATCATGGGATGAATCAAGAACGTTAAAATTTTCTCTTTAATGCAAAATAAGACTAATAAGACTTGAAACAAACACAGCCACACACAAACAGCGACAAATTACTTGTCAACGGATTTCGGGTATAAGATTTCATATTTGGAGCCACACACACATATCATAGAACCAATTACACGATATCATTGATAATACACGATCTAACCAAAGCCACAAACACAGACACACGTAAATGAATGTTTTATCATCCGTCAATAATCTCTTTCAGCCCACCATTGAATCAACAAAATATTAACCCAGCCAACCGACCAACCACAATATTTAATCAATAATCAAAATACATCTAACACAAATTCTTTTCTCTATTACAATTCACTGTTTCATCCCACTCATTCCATTAATGATTTACTTTATATACTAAATTGATTCGTTCATTAATTCACCGATAACGATAACAAAGTAAAAAACAGTTTTGTGTAAAAATGCGTGTGGTGAAAATTCGGTTCCATTGTTTGTATTGATCTGATTGTTTGATTTGAATGTTTATGCGAAAAATATAATGGTGTATGTGCATGAAAATAAATATACGAAATTGATTTGTTGTTGCTGTGATGGTAAATTATGTGTTATGTGAATATACTAAATAATCAGTACAAAGGAAAAATAAAAATAACTACTATTGATACTGCTAGTGCCGGCCGGCCGCCCTCTCCTCCTTTCTTTTATATAACATAATAAAGTCCAAATCCATCTTTCAACATATATACCCCTCTTACTCCTAAACCAAAAAAAAAAAAAAACATTTCAAAGAATTACTGAAAAACTATACAAAGAAAACTTTTTGTTAACAGATCCAGAACCCAAGAAAAAAACAAGAATCAGAAACAAAATTAGAAAAATTATTATAAAAAACTGTATACAAATAAAGTAAATATAGTAGAGTAGTAGCGTAAAAAAATACATAAAGGTGTTTCTGTAATTATGTGTTATATGGTACAAACATTAGCAACGTTTATCACGCGTTTGCTTATAGTATGACAGAAGGATGGAAATGAAAAGGAATTTATACGTAACTTGATTACGTTGACGGAATAAATAAACTGAGAAGTGGGGTATAAGATCAAGAAAAATCACACATAAAACCCTGAACAAAAACCAAAAACAAAACCAGAAAAAAGTTTTTAAAAAATTTACAGAGAAATAAAAAAATGTATGTGTGTATGTGTGTGGACGGGAGTCAATCATCGTAAGAAAATAGTATAAAGAGAAATAAATACTCTAAACATGCGACTTGGATATGTTATAAGAAATAAATTCAATCGCATTTGAATTTGTTTGTATATGTGTTCCCAAAGTTCATCCACACACAAGAGATAAAGTTTGTCTTTTATCATTACCAGAATGATGCCCCGTGAAAAAAATAAAAATAAAATAACTCAATTTTTTCCGTTAATCCAACTACGATATTTTAATATTCCTTATTGATCCACATAATAATTGATCGAGGTCGATTTAGTTATCATGTATCATTAAAACATCCCTCACAAACTCGTGACCATACACCACCCCAATCTTCACTTCCATCTGGAAATAGGAGCATCGAATATGCACTGTGTGTATTACAAAATATGTTTCCGCATCTTTGGGAGAAAATTGAAGGTTTAATTTGGATTAGAATTTAATTTAATCCATCAACATATGCTAAAAGAATTTTTCAATTTATAAATTAATCACCTTCGACAATGATGACGCCGATTCCAGATATTAAATCTAACACTACATCCGGCTTGTTGGCACTGAGATACTTTGCTATCTTCCACCCATTCTTTTGCTAGTCCTTTTTTTGATGCATAAAAGAAAAGTGATTAATTAATTAGATTGATATTCAGTCTGTGTTGATCGATAAATAAAAGATAGTCTCTTACCATAACGATTCTGATGTCGCATAAGTTCTTCGTCAGTGAATAAAGAAATTGGATTTGTATATGATAGCCGCCGAGACTAATTATAATGAAAGATAATCGGAAAATTATTTATTTATTTTACTGTAAATCAATTGATTCACACAAATATAATTAGTCGATTAATTAGATTAATTCATTCATAAATTAACTACCTGAGGCGGAGATAATAAATATGTGGGTATTAATTCTTCTGCGGGAACAGTGGCAGCGACTCGATCAATGTAAGCATCTTTTTTGGCCACTTTTTCCATTATTCGTTGTTTCTTTAGCTTCTTTCGTTCACTGGTGCTGGTTGCGTGATTATTGTTGCTAAGAGATGGGGATGTATTATGTCTGTGATTGTGATGTTGATTATGATGATGATGACTACTGCTACTACTACTATTACAATGACTATTTTGCCGATGATTTTCTCGCTCATTTTGTTCGGTCACTAATTTATCCATTTTCGCTTCCAATTCCATCAGAAGTGTTTCCATGGAATTAATCATTCCTGTTTGACCAGTTGTCACTGCCTCGCATTGTCTTATTCCTTCGAGATATTCTCGTTCTTTCTTTTCCAACATCGATTCAATATCTTCCTTCACACCAAGCAACTGTCGAAACTCTGCTTTGCTCTTTTCCAGTTGAGCTTGCAACAGATTAAGCTCTTGTGCTTGTAGCATACAATTGTTCATTATATTTTTGTATTCTTCGGGTATCTCCTCATCTGAATGTATTGACGACGACGACGACGATGTCGGTGGGAAATCTTTGTCGGATTTGTCTGACGTTACCGTTGTTTCATTATTGTTAGATACCAAATTTAAAGAGAGTTTCTCAACTTTGGCGTTTAATATTTCATGCAGATGCAACATTTCATTACTACTTTCGATTGTTTTCGTAACTTCATTTTTCGCATTTTTATATTGTTCTTCAAGTTCTTTTTTCTCATTTAACATTGTCTTGTGGTCTTTCTGTAACCCAGCGAGACTTTTTTTTACTGATTCAATTTCTTTTCGTAACAATGTCACTTGATCTGCTAATTTTGGATCATCTTCTGATTCTTCGGAGAAAACTGAAGACGAACAAGATAATTCACAACTTTTTATCTCATCATCATCATCACGGTCATCTTCGTCTTCGAAAGCCATACTTGTACGTTTCTCTATTCGTTCATGATAGTCAAGCATTTGTGCAGTCAATGGTAATAAAGCACCACCAACACCAACGTCATTATTACCAACAGAAGGTCTTGGTGAAATTCGACGGTGATGCGAGTCACGTAATAAACCTTCGTTATTGTCAATACCTCCTCGTCCGCAATAATAAATTCCATACTCTGGGCGCGATGGTGGAGTCATTGTCATTCTGGTATTGGTAAAAGTTGACGTCGTTGTGTCGTATGCTAACCTTGGTGGCCCTGGTATTGAATAGTCTCTTTTTGTCGTTTTTGTGTTTGTATTTGAAGAGGCAGAAGTGGGTGCATCTCTTCGCGGAGTACGCACTGCTTTAAAGTTGTGGTGAGCCAGTATTTGATTTGAACTATTTGATCTTCGACGTCGTTTCTTTTTTACGCAGACGCAGCAACAACAGCAGCAGCAAAGTAATATTGAGTATATTAAAATGGTTTTTAGTGTTTATATGCAAGTTGTGTAGAATAGGAGTGTGCGTGTGTACGTGTACGTGTATGTATATGGATACCGGGCGGAAGATAAATGATAATATCACGTTATCGAGAATGTGACAATTTTGTAAATGGATATATACAGCAACAAAATAAGAAAGAGAAGAAAAGAAAATAGTAAGATAATTATCCATAAATATATGCTCTATTCAAAAGACCAAAACTTACCGGGAATTCAAACCGTTGTTGCTGAGGAACAAGTAAAGCGTTTGTTGCTACACTCATATGAAAATATTAACACGACTTTTACTACTATGAACCCAAATTTTTTACTCTGGGATAATGCCCGGAATAGGAATAAGTATATGGAAGAGTAGTACACGCAAAAGAGAAGCCAAGAATTAGGAGGTAAACAGGAAGAGAATTAAATTAATAAAGAGTCTCTTCTCGCTGTGTTTCTTCAAATTATTAAATTTTTCTCCGCTTCTTGGAGTCAAAGATGATGAATGATATGATGAGCAAAGTTGTATATAAAGATGTTTGATAAGAGTCAGATTGCTCAATAAAAAAAAAAAATTAATTGTAGTTGAACACAGAGTCAAAAAACAAGTCCGGAGACGATTTGCTGAATGTGTGCCAACTGAGGTCTTATATACAACATATACAACATATACATGTATAATGTAACGAACTCGCTCGTGTCGAGCAATTCCTTGATTATTTAATATATATATAAAAATAAAGATTCTTTTTTATCAATATGAAATTATTAATTTATTAGAGTTGCTGTAAGAGAGGAGCAAGAAAGTTTATTATTGCCGTGTGTAAGAGAGAAGAGATTATTATCAAGTATCTCTATCACTGTATAATATATATATCAATTATTTTACAATAAAGTATTTATTATTGCTATTACTGGAGGAGGGTATCAGTATTTATTTTGTGAGTTAGATTATTATGATGTATTTATTATCGTTATATTGTTTGTGAAAATTGTTGAAAACGAGCGAATCATCGAGTAAGAGTGAGACAGTTGTTGAGCCGTGTATATTTATTTTATACACTTACAGTACTATAATAAAAAATCAAGTGATCATAAAATGTGGGGACTCGTTGGACTAGTTGATAACAGTGGAAAAAAAAAAGGGGGTGGAATATATTTACACATATTGGTTGTGTACTTCGGCGTGTCAGAAAAAGGAAGCGAGACTGAAATAGGTCGAAGATTTAACAAAAGAAAATTTTATTTGACTTAGATTGAGGTTACTGGTTACGCGGTTACAGGGGATGTTGTAAGAACAACGATTGATTTAATTCAGTTCTGATTAGAATATTTGAATTGAATTCCTAAAAGACAGAGATGCTGAAATGAAAAAGGGAATTTTTCCAACCTGTGCCTGTTTCGATAGAGCATGAAAAAATAAGAATGTATTTTTTTCCTCCACAAAACAATGATAAATACTCTCACACATTTCACGCGTGCTCGATAATTGGATCAATGCACACTCCACAACCCTGTCAAAGTTAATCTTGCGGCTAATACATGTATTAGGTAAAAATGCCAATGCAAGTTTACATATTCATCTGATTATGATGGTCAGAGTACACAAGAACCCAGTTCTTTGAGGCTGAGGCGGCGAATATAATATGGTAAGATGAACATTAACACAAATACGATAATAATATTTATTTCCTGTCCAGGACATATGCATACCATAAAGTCGCCCGGGAAGAATTACCTTCTATGTATAGTAATCAAAAGAATATCAGATTTTATATGGTTATTAATACACGCTGTTGAGTATTATCAATTTTGATTGTTGAAATTCCCTTGTTCGTTTTTCAAAATCTTCGTCGCGTATGATGTCTACATCATCTGCTATTTTCTTGGTCCGCGTGGATGTTTCATTTTACATTTTTTTTATGTAAAAGTATAACAAGTACGACAAGTTTGAAAAGTGACACAGGAAAAGGCGTTTGTATTATTTCGTGCCCTAAAAAACCAGCATTTAAACAAGGGTATAAACCAAGTGGTCAGTCAGACATTTGACAGCTGAACAAGTTTTGTGTCCCATATTCCAAAATCCATTTTGAATTTATGGAAATACAGAACATAAAACAGAAACGCCACTCACGCATCATCAGCCACAAATACCATATGGCTTACATGCCATAATTGTAGACATTAGATGTTTCAATTCCAAGCGTAAATCAAACTTCAGACGTTTATAGTCTTTAAATATAAAACTCCAGTTTAATTAATTCGTGTCTTATAATTTACCCCCAAAGAATGCGATTTTTTGATATAGCTAACAATCCCAATTATCATTTTAATAATAACATTTTGATTGTCCCGTGTTACATTATTTTCTGAGAATATTGTACCCCCTATACAATCGTTTGTGATCAAATTGTATAACATAAAGCGTTAAGGAGTTAAATTTTGGAATATTAGCGTTAGTAGATAATTAAATTACATGTGCAAATCCTGAACGCGAATTTTTTAGATTCATTCGAAATTTAGACCATCAATATCCACGATGAATGAAATGAATTTTAAAAAAAAACATGTACATGCAGCGTCATGTCTTATCAGCATGTTTTCTTAAATTGTCATTGTGAAGATGTTTAAGTAAATTTCTGGATTTTTCGCATGGAATATTTAATAAAGTTTGCATTGTTAACAAATATTAAGTAAATAGTGTTAACAATGAGATTTTAATTAATATGATTATAATTACACATGCAATAATCTATTACCAACATATGCTTTCATTGTGGAGTTTTGCATTATTAATTAAATGATTAAATCAACAAGAAATTAAATAATTCATAAAATTCGACTAATAAAGTGATTAGCCATATCGATATTAAAATGTCTATCAAAATAAATTGTATGTTTTAAAGTTCCATAACTTGATTAAGAAGTATATGATAGATTTGTAATTTATTTCCTAATTAAGAAGTTATGGAACAATTCATTTTGATAATCATTCAAAAACAGAAAAAAGCCTAAATAAAAATTTTTAGGAAAATTATTGCGATATTTTACCTAGTTTATTTTTATCGTTAAATTAGATCTGCATTCTCGTAGAATATACATACACGTGGCTTAACGATTGGATGGTTGAATGTGTAAAAGAGGTGATTAGCTAAAAGCCACTATTTATTTTACCATAGCTGGAATTTCCACCGCTATTACGAGTTATTGCGAATTGGTACATTTACTTGCTTTTGCAGCATTTACATTCTTCAAGGTTTCTTTGACATTATTGCCGACTTCATATTCAAAAGATTACGTGCTAATACCTTGTTGTAGTCGCATATATTTGCTCAAAGAAGGTCCAAGCGAAAAAATTTTTTTTCTCCCCACAATCAAAGCTGATAAGTTGCCATAAAACATCAAGCAAAAAATGAATTTTCATTGTGCGGGGAAACGAGCAATCCTATTTACTATCTCTATAGCATGATAATAAAACACGTACATGCATCTAGGCATGCACTTTGCTGACGTCAAAACATACATTTTGAAAAATTATTTTTTTTCGTTCTTTCTGTTTCATGTACCGTATATCGTATGATAACCTAATGACTTTTATCTTTGAAACAGCTGCATGATGTGAAAAATCATAAACATCTTGAATAACAGGTTTATCATTCTACATTCTATTGTATGTATGTATATGCAGTTGCAGTTGCATCGATTTTAATGTGACAATGAACATTTTACTATTGTAAGTACATCACCTTGAAAAATTTTCATATTGAAAAAACCCTAAAAGTATAACATATGCGCGTGTTCTGAACTCAAAATTTGTATGACTTTTAAAAGCAAGTGCTTGGAGACGTCGAGATAAGAAATGTTTTTGCAACTTATTGATTTATGCGTTATACAGTGCTCGTCAGAAGTAACGAACCCCCCATAACTTACCATAGATCACGAGCACAAAAAACATTACAAATGCTGCTCATGATACCTTTTATAGATCTATATCGAGTATTCGGGTATTGCATGTTCATAAACTTTCATGCCCAATACAATAATCGGTCACTTTAGGACATAATATCTCGACGTCCAGAGATCCGATTTGAGCAAAAATACCACCATCTGTTTTTTCTAGATTAGACAAATCGAATGGTAGTATTTTTGCTCAAATCGGATCTCTGGACGTCGAGATATTATGTCCT